AGGTAGGGGTAACGATGACGTGGCTTTCATGCATTGCCTGCTCCTATTCCGCCCTCTCACCATTTCTTGTCGTGTGCGGTATGCTTATCTTTCTCTTATACATTTGCCCTAGAGTTTGGCAGCATACCCTTCCTTTTATGCATTGATGCTCTGGCACAGTGAGAGCGAGAGGAGGAATCCCTACCATTCATTGAATAAAAAATGAACACCCAACCAAGCCAAATGGGTAGTTGAACTCTTGATGGAGTGGAACGAAATTATTTCGTGTAAAGAAAAAGAAAAAATGTGCAAGGAGGATTTGAGGGGCCAGTCAGTGGGTTAGCACAATAGCTTCCAGCTTCATATAAAAAGCGAGAGTTCAGAGCACTCAAAACGTGTTAAATAGATGAAATGAAAATAAGCAGCAACAAAAACAACAAAAAATGAAATTGAATGCACTGCTGGGTGCAACATTTCAATGGTTGTTATCAGAGATTTATGTTTGCGTATTTCGCACTCACAAGCATACCCATAGGCTTCTTGGGGAATTAACTAATGGCAAAATGAAGTAACCATTTTTTGGCAGAGTGTAAAGAAAATTTCCAATTAAGTGATTTTAAATCAAAACCTTGTTAATATTAATGACTACATGACACTTTTCAAATGAGGTCTTAATTAAAGTCGTGTGCGTGGAGAAAAAAATTACTGAGGAACACATTTATACCAAAACGAGGCTTTATATAACGCATGGATTTGTTAAAAGGCGTGGATTTTTAACAAATATTTTCTAAGGCCTACCATAAAACGCGGATTTATTAACAAGTATTTCTAAGGCCTACTATAAGGCGTGGATTTAAAAAAATCCAAAGGGTACTATAAGTCGTGGATCTAAAAAAATAATTTCTAAAACTTACTATAAGGAGTGGATTTTTTTTAAAAATAATTTTCTAAGGCCTACCACAAGGCATGGATTTTTTAGATAATATTTTCTAAGGCCTACCACAAGGCATGGATTTTTTAGATAATATTTTCTAAGGCCTACCATGGCCTACTATTAGGCCTGAATTTTTTAAAGAATATTCTTCTTTTTCCTCCTTTCAACTTTAAACATTTTAAGTAATTCCTTCACATGCCATTATATTTATAGAATATTTTCTAAGGCCTACCATAAGGCGTGGATTGTTTAAAGAATATTTTCTTAGGCCTACCATGAGGCGTGGATTTTTTAGAGAATTTTTTCTATGGCCTACTATAAGGCCTGAATTTTTTAAATAATATTCTTCTTTTTCCTCCTTTCAACTTTAAGCATTTTAAGTAATTCCTTCACATGCCATTATTGAATCTGCCACAATGTTGTTGTTGATCTTCCACCAAGATTTCTTGTTTTACTGCATTTAACCTGTCATTGGAATAAAAACAGACTAAAGTGCATTCGACACTCAAGTCGTAGATGAAAACACACGCACGCACACTGAGACACTCACACACCATCCAATAAAACTGTAATTCTTATAGCTTCTGTTTCTTGTGGCTTCTATGGATTTTTATCTTCACATTCATGATGGGATATTCTTTGAACCCGCTTAATAGAATTGACATAGACACTCTGTATGGCTGGCTGTGTGTTTGTTTTTCGCTTAGTTGTTTTTTTGTATAGCAAAGCAAAGTTGATTACCACAAAGCGATAAACGGTTAAAACTGCAACATAACATCCTCTTAAATGAAAATCGTCTTAGATGGTGATTGTTGCATCTTCTCCTCCGCCGAAGACAAGCGGCATTTCTAAGATAGTTGGCATCCTTCATAACAATTATTGTTTATATTTTTTTTAACATTATTTAAATGATAATAATAGACATTAATAATAGAAGATAGGGATATACAATTTCCTACGAATTTTCTGAATTTCTATGCATTCATTCTTCATATGAATATTAACCCTTTAGCCACTATAGGTCATAACATCCAAGGAGATCCTTGCAACTATTAATTTTTGCTATTTTCTAACAGTTCAATATTTCACCTAATTTTCAAAAGCAATTTCGATTTCAAATCCCCATATATAAATTTCCATTTCATTTACGAAATCCTTCAATATTAATTTTCAACTGAAATGGGTTTCCCCAAATATTGTTATTAAAATTGAAAATACATTTTCCTGATCATTGGACCAAAAATATTCACATGAAGCTAATCAACCTTTCTCGTAAGTTTTCTCATTTGCCCTTTTTTCATGAAGTTTCATTTCCTTATGTCAAACAACAACTAAACAGGACAACTTACATTTATCAAATAAACTCATTTGAACTTTATGACCGGAATTAAAATGAAGTTTATAACAGACATATCCTTAAAGGGTTTGTTGGTGACTAGGGGAGGGAGATCCTGATTGTTAGTTTAACGATATAACTAACTGACCATCATAGCCTACTCCAATCCAGTCCCCTGCCTATTTGATGTTTTTCTCATTTTTTCTTCTTCCTTTGCATGCCTTTTAATACAAAAAGGATATTTTTTTTTTTTTTGTCACATCTGTCTTCTTTCGTTGTGCCGGCTGAATATCCATTTTACATAAATACGGGTAGTTATTTTCCAATAGTACTTTATGTCAGTCCTTGTTGTAGTTTTTTCCAGTATGGAGGGTAATACTGATTTTGTGTGGTACAGATGAAAAGATACTGATACTCTGAAATAATATCCGCATTGCATGAATGAATGAATTAGATTGTGGATATATGAATGTAGCTCTGTATATATGGGAAACAACCCAGTGAAGCATTTTAGAGCAATTACGTCTCCGCTTTCAGAGAATTTGTTGCTATTGGAAAAATAGTCCTGTGAAGGACTGTGCATCTATTTTATAGGAAACTGTTTTCCTATAGGGACTATACTAAATAAAAAAAATCACAGGCCACTAGGACTGTCTTTTTTCCTATAGACAAAAACAGTCCTATGGGACTTTGATTTTTTTTTTATAGAAAAAATACGGTCCTGTAGGATTTGAATTTTTCTATAGGAAAAATATATTCCTGAGATGGACTGTGATTTTTTTCCTATAAAAACGTCCTTTGATGGACTGTGATTTTTTTCTATAGAGAAAAAACAGTCCAGTGGGGGACTATAGAAACAAAGACAGCCCTTGGGGATCTGTGAATGTTTTTCTATGAATATAAAACATTCCTGTGGGGGATTGTGTAAATTTTTGTGCAGAATACAACAACAGCCATATAGCGGACTGTGATTTTTTTCTATTGGAAAAAGACAGTCTTAGGCGAATATGTGTGAATTTTGTTTTTCTATAGAAAAAAAAAGAAAGTCCTGGGGTCTGTTAATTCTGTTAATTAAACCTGTGGGGTTATGTGATTTTTTCTATAGTCCCACAAAAAGACCGTCTTGGGGTCTGTAATTTTTTTTGTCTGTGAATTTTTTTTTTCTATAGAAAAAGTACTATCCTGGAATCTGTGAAAAGAGTCCTGTAGGTCTGTGAATTTTTACTATAGAAAAAAACATAGTACTGGGTCTTTAAATTATTTCTATATAAGACATTCCGGAGGGTGTGGGATTTTTTTTCTATAGAAAAAAAATACTCAGTCCCGAGGGTCTGCGAATTTTTTTTCTATAGGAAAAAAAACAGTCCTGAGGGTTTGGGATTTTTTTCTCTATAGAAAAAAACACAGTCCTGGAGATCTGTACATTTTCTAGAAAAAGAAAAACAGTCCAGGAATGAGAATTTTCTCTATAAAAAGGCACGAGGCCTGTATTTTTTTCTATAAAAAAATACTTGGGTTCAGTCAATTCTTCTATAGAAAAAAAGAGTCCTGGTGGTCTGTGAGGGGGACAGTGAGTTTTTTCTTCAGAAAAAATAGTGTATCAATTTTCTTTAGAATAAGGCTGTTACTGTGGGTTTGTTAATTTTTGTTTTATAGCAAAAATACATTTTTTAGGAGATTGTGATTTTTATGATTTAAGACAATCCTCCTGTGGGATTGTGATTTTTTTCTATTTTTTCATAGAAAATGTTTGTTGTACTTCTAAACTCTCTCCCTTCTTTGTATTTTATCATATGAAAACATCGAAGGAGAAAAAAAACTATTCTGCATACGCTGTCAGTTTTTTTTTCGTCTCCCTTTTCTATTTCTTCTATTTTCTAATAGTGTTTAACTTTACAGGAAACATACTCCAATTGAGTATGTGTGTGTGTGTGTGAAGAGGGAAAGAAAGGACAGCTACAGGAAAGGACTTTTCATATCGGGTACGCCTGTTTTGAATGGTTTTGTTGTTCGAAACGATACATGGTTTCAAGAAGGAGACATCCTCATTGTATGCGCAGCAACAAGGTTCTTCCTGCCTGACTGCCGGCCTGCATTACTGCCGATTTGATGACTTGGCACACAATTTGCAAAAGTGTTGGTCACACTTACATACATATGAGAGTGTCTGATTCAAATGTCCTTAACTGTGGCTCCTCGTTCTTTTAGTTTTTGTTTTGTACTCTGTCTAATGGGACATTGCTTTTGTGGTTATTGTATGCATGTTGTTGTTGATGTCCTTTTGAATTAGAATAACATAAACTTACATGAGTATGTATAGGTGTTCGTATTTTTCTTCTGTTTTGAAAACAAAAGGACAACAAGTTGGAATAGGGCTGTTGCTGTTTTTTTTTACTTCGTATAGTATTCTAGGATTCATTTAATTGATACTATCGATTTGTTGGCAGGAGAAAGTATCCTTATCCTTGTGTGAATATTAATGGCCAGTAATGATTGCCTGCAGTAATTCCGATACAATTGTAAATCGAAACAATATCAGTTAATAAATATGCATATGCAGCATTCAATATGTTCAATACTTTTTTCATTCCTGAAGAAACACTTGAATTTCGGAATTAATGAAATTTAATTTGTTTTATTTTTGTTTCCAATATCCTTTCACATCCTTTTATCGCATAATTCTCAATTTGCTATTTTTTAATATATTTTTTTAATATATATTTTTTTTCATTCTGTCTTTCTCTTCCCCAGGTTATCCCCAGCCCACATATCGTTGGATAAAAAATGGTATACCAGTTGGTGATTTTTCACCCAGTCAGTATATGCGTATCCTGAATACTCAGCGCGATGATGCTGGCAGTTATAAATGTATTGCAAAAAACGAAGCTGGCTCAATATTTAGTGAAACGATTGACGTTGTCGTTGCCTGTGAGTATAAAATCCCAAACGAATTAAATCATTTTTCAAAAAACTGTCGAATTTTTCCTTTTTTTTTTTTTATTTGAAATTGAACAAAAATATTCATAACCAAAAATTCGCATGGACACACACACATTCATACATAAATATGAAAACGACAATGATGATGATGACGACAACGACAGTATTTAAATGTGAATGGGTCCAGTATTTTTTTCATTTTTTTATCTGCAACTGCAGAGTGAGTCCGTTTATAAAGTTTCACATTCTGTGCACTATCTGTAAATGTGAAATACTTCAGATATATATTTTTTGGAATTGTGGAGAAGTATTTTTTTTTTTTTTTTGAATAATTTACATATTAAAATATTTGTGAGAAATTTTTTATTGTTTTTGGTTGCTGGTGGAATCCTAACAGATGGTTACCATGGACTTTTTTTTACAAAATAGGATTAATACTTTTTTTGATATTCACGAAATATGGCAATTGTAGTGAAAGTGACAGAAGGAGGGAGTCTCGAGGGGGGACGAAAATTTGGGTCAATAGCAGACAAGGCTACTGTGGTAGTTATTTAATGGAGAGGAAATTATTTACTGAATTCAAGTGAGTTCGACTTACATTTCCTACAGAAAAAATCTACAGACCCACAGGACTGTGTTTTTTCTATAGAGAATATTACAAACCCACAAGAATGTCAATTTTCTGTAGAAACAAATCACAGACCCACAGTACTGTGTTTTTTCTATAAAAAAAATCACAGCTCCCCAGGACTGTGTTTTACTATGGAAACAAATTCACTGATCCACAGGACTCCATTTGTCCCATAAACAATTCACAATCCCCGCAGGACTGTCTTTAAACCCTTTACCACACTATGGTACAGGGTATTATGCTTTTGTGCATATGTTTGTAACAGGCAAAAGGAAACGAGATAGGCACATGGTTCCTTTTGAGAATATGCATAGAATCATTTTCTAAGTCGATTTATGCATGTCCGTCCGTCCGTAGATGTTAAGTTGTAAACAAAGTACAGATCGCACTTATGATCCAATTTGGATGAACTTTGGCACAGCTCATTTGTTTGGCCCAACGACGTACTCTATTGAAATTGGAAAAAATCGGGTTAGATTTAGATATAGCTCCCATATATATTTTCGTCCGATTTTAGGTAAAAAGTGCACCAAAGTCCCTACATATTCTTCGGTTTTCACGAAATTTGGCATAGCGCAAAGTAAGTTCCGAGAAAATCGGTTCAGATTTCGATGTAGCTCCCATATATATTTTCGTCCGATTTAATGTAAATAGTGGACCAAAGTCCCTATATATATTTCGATTTGCACGAAATTTGGCATAGTGTTCTAAATTGAGCCTGGAATGGTGTGTGCAAAGTTCCGTGAAAATTGGTTCAGATTTAGATATAGCTCTCATACATATTTTCGTCCGATTTAATGTAAAAGACGCACCAAAGTCCCTATATATCTTCCGATTGATACGAAATTTGGCATAGCGTACTGAATTGCACCTGAAATGATGTGTAAAAATTTCGTGAAAATCGGTTCAGATTTAGATAAAGCTCCCCATATATATTTTCGTCCGATGTAATGTAAATGGTGCACTAAAGTCCCTATGTATCTTTCGATTTGCCGAAATTTGAAACGGCGTACTGAAGTGAGTTTGGAATGATGTGTGCTGAGTGAAAATCGGTTCAGAACTATATATATATATATTCTTATTGTGCATAGCATACAGAATTTAGTCTAGAATGATGTAGTTGATGTTTCTTAGTTCGACAGGACTCATTTTTGTACCCTTTACCACACTGTGGTACAGGGAATTATTTTCTATAGGATGATTTGTTTTTTTTTTTTTTTTTTTTTTGCCGAATAATTTTAAAACATCCCCCAATATTCCCATAGGATATGGATCAATATCTTTAGTTACAATCCCATTTAATTAGGCAGACTTAAGTTCTGTTGAATTTCGGATGTTTCAGAATTATGGGAATTAGTTACATGCCACCATCGAACTCTCTCACTCACTTCCACTTGCCTCCCAGCATCCATCATCGTTTCATCGTATTTATTTGTTCTGTTTGACCAGATCTTGAATTTATTAATCAATTTGATGCAGTCGTTAAATGACACTTAATTAAAGCATTTAAACATTTCTTAGCTCTTGCTTATGACCAAGACATAACACACTAAGACGAAAACCCTCTGCTCCACTTTGATTAGCCACCCACCCATTCTGTTTTTAAAAAGCTTAACGCAGTTACTTTTTCTGCGTCAAGCCATAAAACACCAACAAAAACAACACAATGACTGACTGACTTTATTAAGTATTACGATGGAGATGCGGAATTTAATACCCACACTAATTAAACGGAATTAACAGGGAATGGGCCATGGTGAATTTTAGTACACCCTGCGTAACTAATTGTAAATTAGTAAAGAATTGGAATATATATATATATATATAAACCCCAACTATTCTCTAATATTTTCCATATTGTTACATGAAGGCTTCCATTTTATGTTCCAATAAAAATTACAAACTAAATTATCTCTCATTGTGTCACATATCCTCCTTTGAATAAATAACTCTTTTAAATACCCCTTTGAGATTTCCTTTTTCTTCTTATCGCTATTATTTTTTCTCTTTTGTGTGTCATAAGGAATAATTAAATGTCATATGTCCCCAACCAGAAAAAAAAGAAATAAGGTCGCTCTAGGTCTTGTACGAATGTAAGAAAGACATTTTTTGTTCTACTTCAACGTCTTCGAATCGAGCGCGATGGCGATGAAGATAACAGTGACTCATTGACTTCAACGAGTAACAATTAAGTGGCAGTTAGTTAAATTAATTGGCTACTCTTTGGCTTCGTATTCTGCTATTCTTCTTCACTATATTACTTTGTGCGTATCAACTTGAACAAAAGTGGGCAGATATACTGAGAAAAATTAAAACAGGTTTTAAGAACAAATTATTCTGTGAAAAAAACACGCCTGAAAGTAGGCCTTGAAAAATTATTCTGTAAGCAAATCCATGCCTGAAAGTATGTCTTGAAAAATTATTCTGTAAAAAATCCACACCTAAAAGTAGGCATTGAAAAATGATTCTGTAAAAAATCCACACCTAAAAGTAGGCCTTGAAAAAATATTCCGTAAAAAAATCACACAAATATCCACGCTTAAAAGTAGGCATTGAAAAATGATTCTGTAAAAAATCAACGTCTAAAAGTTGTCCTTAAAAAATTATTCAGTAAAAAATTCACGCCTAAAAGTAGGCCTGGAAAAAAATCCACGCCTAAAAGTAGGCATTGAAAAATGATTCTGTAAAAATCAACGCTTAAAAGTAGCCCTTGAAAAGTTATTCTTTAAAAAAAATCCACGTCTAATAGTTGTCCTTGAAAAATTATTCTTTAAAAAATCCGCACCTAAAAGTTGGCTTTGAAAAATTATTCTTTAAAAAATCTACGCCTAAAAGTAGGCCTTGGAGTATTATTCTATAAAAAATCCAACGCTAAAAGTAGGGCTTGAAAAAGTAGTCTTTAAAAAATTCAGGCCCAAAATCATTGCTTAATATTTTGTTTAATTATACACGCCTAAAAGTAGACCTAAAATGTGTTCTTGATATTTTAAGAAGGTCTTGACGTGTTTTCTTTTGTTTAAAAAAACACGCCTAAAAGTTGGCCTTGAAAGAAGTAGTAGGCCTTGACATTTCTACTTAAAAAAATCACGCCTAAAAGTAGGCCTTGATTTTTTCTTTACAAAATCCACTCCTAAAAGTAGGACTTCATTTTTTAAAAATCCACGCCTAAAAGTATGCCTTGAAAAATATTCTCTAAACGTTTACCACAAGACTGATTTTTCAGTAGAAAAAATAAATTACTTCAGGACGGATTTCTAAATAGAAAAAATTACAGTCCCTACACAAATTTCTCCCAGTTTCTTTTATATAGGTTGCTTACATCAATGCGTAAAGAATGATAGTTGTAGGTGTGAGTGTGTGTGTGTGTGGGTGTGTGTGGGTGCGTGCATGTCTTCATTTATGTGGCCATATTTTGCGTTGAGCATTGCGTGAGTATTCGCAATGCCATGCAATTTTTTTTGTTATTTTTGTGCAAGCACAGCACGTCCAATGAATTGTTGGACTCGAATGGTCTGAATGATGGTTTTTAATCTTTGACTCTTTCCGGACATGAATGACTTAACGAAGTAGAATGAAGTAACAATAAAAGCGACATAACCAGAACAACACAGAGACGGGATACGAAAGTCAGCCAGTCATTATTTACTGGACAAATGGTGGCAACTAAGAAGGGATAATGCGAAACACAAAATGCAAACGCCTCCGCCATGACATACCAGTCCACACTGTGGACTAGAAATCATGCAATTCATTCATTGACATGGAAATAACAAATAAATGGTTCATAATTTGTTAATTTTATTCCGCCACAAATGAATTTTTATTTGAATGAATTAATTTTGGTTGTTTGTTCTGCCAGTCATTGTTATGCAGCCTAATTGTTATTGTTTGACATTCATTGATTCTTGGTTTCCCTTTCTTTTTGTTCCAGATATGGGCACATTCAACAACGTCACCGAGGGCCGTTTAAATGTCATATCAGGCCATCCGGCCATATTGGATTTGCCCGATATCGATTCAGTTCCTGCGCCATCGGTCATCTGGCAAACTGTCGATGGACCGCTCAATTATGACATCAAATACGCATTCACCAAATCGAATCAATTGATTATCCTCAACACCGACGAAGTGGATCGTCAGGCATATCGGGCACGTGCCATCAACACCCAGCTGGGCAAGGAGGAGACCAGCAGTTTTATACACGTGAATGTGAGCGGTGATCCGTACATTGAAGTGCCACCGGAAATTATTGTCCATCCGCAGGATATGAAATTGAAACGTGGCGAACAAGTTGCCGAACTGCAATGCATTGCCAATGCACGACCATTGCATGAGCTGGAAACACTGTGGTTCAAGGATGGCATTCCCATTGAAAATGCTGAAATTGCCCACACGCTAAATGATCCATGGAATCGTTCGCTGGCTTTGTTGTCGGTAAATTTAACACATTCCGGTGAATATTCGTGTCAGGTGCGTCTGCGCAGTGGTGGCCATCCGACACTGATAGCGAAGGCGAAAATTGAAATACTCGAACCGCCAACATTTTTTACACCAATGCGTCAGGAAACTTTCGGGGATTTGGGCGTGTTGGTATCACTGCCCTGTGATGTGGTGGGAGATCCACAGCCAACGGTGACATGGTTTCGTAATGCCGAACCTATCGATTTGAATAATGAAAAGTAAGTATTTCAGAAACACTTTTTAAAATCTGGGGATTTTTTAAAGAATATTTTTTAAAGGCTACCACAATGCAAGTTTTTTAATGAAAATTTTTTTTAAAGTCTACTTCTAGTCTTCTATATTTTAATGCATATTCAAGTCCTATCACAAGGCATAGATTTTTAAAGAATATTTTTGAAGGCCTATTATTAGGCGTGGACTTTGAACAAAATATTTTTCAATGGCTACTATTAGGCGTGGACTTTTTAAAAATTATTTTTCAATGGCTACTATTAGGCGTGGACTTTTTAAAAATTATTTTTCAATGCCTACTATTAGGCGTGGACTTTTTAAAAGTTATTTTTCATAAATATAAACAATTAATTTTGTTATTCCCTTTTAGATATTCAATTGCTGAAGATAATGCCTTGCATATTAAGAAATTGGAACTGGAGGATTCCGCCATGTATCAATGTTTGGCCATTAATGAAGCTGGTGAAAAATCTGCCTACACTTGGCTGAGAGTGAAAAGTAAGTCAAATCCTATATCTACTCTATAATCCTCGTTTAAATGCAATATATTTATAAGTACATGTAGTATACATACTCATCTAAAAACTACATATATGTATGCAGTTGATAATATTAATATTAAATCCCATCTTTTTTGAAATTTTCCATTTTCCAATACAAAAAAATTGCGGTTATGCCATTCACAGCTATTAAATTACCATACAATAGTGGTGGTTTGGTGGAATACAGTGCTTCAGCTACTACAACTACTACTAATAACCATAAAATATCAGCTACTAATTACAAACATAAAACCACAAAATTCATTAACCATCGTTTTAATATACCTTATAATGGCGGTGGTGACGCTCAAAGAACAACTGCTGCTGCTGGCTCAGCATTAACGCCAGCGCCTATAGTTACAACAATCAATGATGGTATCGATAATGTCATAACAACCTCCTCCTACAACGCCTTTTTGGGCGCGACGGCGCCGCCATCATCAAACCGTAATCGTCATGAGAGTCAGAACCATCGACACAGTCATCGTCATCATTCTCCTCATAGATTTAATAACAATCACTTGAAGAAGGTGTATGCAAAATCGAATGTAGATCTAACTAACGTTACTGCTAATGCTAACAACTACAACAACAATAATGCTTCATCTGCAATTTCCCCATCCATCGTCATCATTAATACCACAACTACTACTAGATGTGCTGCTCAACAGGCCACCACCACCACCACCTCAAACACCAAAACAAAACATCCTTCTAGTACCACAACTAGCAGTAGTCGTGGTACTATTATGGATATCCTTGGTGCTGGTGTAGGTGTTGGTGGTGCTGATTTCGCTGTTGGTGCTGGTACTGGTAATTGTGCATTCGTTAGTGATTTATTAAAACGCATTAAGCGTTTGGCTCAACCGCGCATTTTACGTGTTAAATCTTCGCATGCTGGTGCCACCACAACGGGTTCAGGACACAATAACAATAGACGCAAGGACTTTCGCTTTGGTAATAAATACTTTATCATCATTATGATTGTTAACTTAGTTTTGTTTCTTCCGTAAAACAATGAAAATAAATCTTAGTTTGTGGTTTAGTTTCTTTTGTTATCCGCAAATTCATTTCATTTATCTCAACGCACTACCACACACACAAATGCACATTTTGCACGTAGAGCTTTAGTATATTTTATGCAAAGCTTAAAGTTTAGAATTTTGTTACACATTTTATCCAAATTTTAGTTATTTTTAAACCACCTATAGTTGTAGCCGAGAACACTGTAGTAATTGCATAGCTGATTATTTAGATACATTTTTATATTTTATTTAATATTAATTTTTTTAAAAAATTTTTTATTATTTATTGGTCAATTTATATAGTTATTTTATTAAAAAATAAAAAAGATAATTTTTTTATACAAATTATCTAAAAATTTTCAGATGATATCTTATCTAACGTCATTATTTACGTATATTGATTAGTGATATTCAAAAAAAAATTATCTGAGTTATCCACTCTGTAAATCAACGATGGAGATATTTTATTTGAATTACTTTAAAACCGATATTCACTTCAATTAATAATTTCGGATCTGAACCATTTAATCCAGTGTAAAGTGGATTTAATCCAGTTAATATGGATAAATTGTCTGTTGCCTAATCGATGGTCTAAATATTGAGCTAAATGTATCTGTGCAATCTAATCGATTTTAAACCGATATCCACAGCAGTTACTGGGGTTAGATAACTTATCTGATCATTTTACAATCACCTTATCCTTTTGTGTGTTTGGATAATTTGGATATCTATGTTATCTTATTTCTATAAATACAACATTCAATATATTTTCGATGTAGATAATTTATCTGCGTTATTAAATTTAAAAAAATGTATATTTTATATAAGATTTAGATGCATTTTATGTGGTATCAATGTTATGCAAAAATATGGATAATTTATCTGAATTATCTATTTTGTGATGTGTATGTTAACGACGCAGATAACTTTTCTGAGTCACTAAATTTATTAAAAATTTGTTTTTTTAAATATGGATAATATTTCGATAATTTATCTGAGTTATCTATATCTAAAAAATGCTACCTTCGCATAATTTTAATGTACAAAATGTATCTGCCCTATTAAATTAAATCTAAAATTATGTATTGTTATCTATAAAATTTAGATACATTAAGATATAAATTATAAGATAAAATATTCAAAAATATGGATAATTTATCTTAGATATCTATTGGATATAAAAGCGAAGTTCGGGTTATATAACCAATTCCCATAATTTGCTATAACTTCTATGATAATAATTTATCTGAATTATATAATTTCTATAAATGCAACCTTCAAAATATATTTGTAATGTAGGTAATTTATCTGAGCTATTTAATTATTTTGATACATTGTCTGAGGTATCGATGTTATCCAAAAATATGGACAATTTATTTATGTTATTTAAATAACGCGGATAACTTTTCTGAGTCAGTAAAAATAAGATTTTAATGATTTTTTTTTTAAATACGGATAACTTATCTGAGTTATCTATTGGTTATAAGTGTAATATTTATATTATCTAGATGACGCAGATAACTTTTCTGAGTCACTAAATTTATTACAAAATGGTTTTAATGTTGTTTTTTTCAATATGGATAACTTATCTGAGTTAACTATTGAACTAACACAGATAACTTATCTAAGTTATTTAAAGCTATTTTAATGTTATCTAAAAATATGGATAATTTATCTGAGTTGTCTATTGGGTATAAAGGCGAAGTTTGGTTTATCTAAATAACGCGCATATTTTTCTGCAAGTCCTAGAAATTGGTGTTGATTGATATATTGCTCCAAGTTTTGTCCGCATATAGCCTCGGTATCCCCTCCGTATCCGTATTTTGGGCAAGATTTTCAACGACATGGGCTGTAATTTGATATTTTGGGTAACACCAAACTACCAAAAATGTTCAATATTGGTTCACTTTTTAGTATCTCTCAAATTTTCGGCATTTTGAGAAGTTTGGGCACGACTTTCAATCGAATTGATTGTAATTTAGTATTTCTCATTGGGTATACAATATCTCTACCAAAAATTACCAGTATAGGTCCAAATTTCAGGTTTATTTTCATATAACATTCCCTCCCATTATTCGGTATTTTGAGCACGTTTTAACTTGGTTCTCTCATTTGGGTAGATAATCTTACTGCACTCCATTATCAATATTGACCAAAATTTCAGGGTACAGTCCGTATAAGGATACATCCAATTATTTTGTATTTTAGGCACATTTTTCAACCATATTGGCAGGTAACTTGGTATTTTTGGTTCTCATTGAGTAGCAAATCCTCTTACCAAAAATTTTCAATATTGGCTTTAGTTTCGGGATATGTCCAATATAACGGAACCTTCAATATTTAATATGTTAGAGTCTCATAGAGTAGAAAATCTTCCTACCAAAAGTTATCAATTATGGCTAAAATTTCACATTAGACTCCTTATAATACCTCACATTATTGTGTTCAAAATCCTCATAGAACACGCTTAATTTTCTTTATTTTGGGTCCTTGTTCGATGCCATTTTTTCGATACCTACAAAAAATGATAAATATCGCATTTCAATTTCTGGGTCGCTTGAAAATCTTTCCAAAAAAATTGCATTGTATTCTCATCTTTATATTTCAGGTTTTTATATATTTCATTGTCTTTTGGTATTATCATTCAGTGGGACGTCCTTGAAGATTTTGATTTAATTTTTTTTGCTAGTTCCAATTTTTAGGATGTATTTCCTGAATGTAACATTTTTTGAGATTTTCATATACCGCTGCACAAGAATATATACATTATTTTAATTTCCTCCTCATAAATCGAATGTTTACTTTAAATTCTTTAAACCTCCCCTCCTTCCAGTTGCCTCGCTGTACTACCACATAAACCAAATATTATTTTTTGGGGGATTATTCCTTCTAATATTAATTATTATTATGATCATACATGCATATCAGCTTATTATGGTATATGGCTCATAATGTAAATTTCCATCCAAAACATGTTTGAAGTACAAAAACCAACAAAAGCCACAACAACCTCGAAAAAAGTAAAAGTAATTTTCTTGTATGTTAATTACAACGATAACTATGTAAGAAGGTTCACTTAAATTTTACATATTACAGAAAGGACATGTAGCTGAAGATGTGTGCGAGTGTGTGTTTGAGTATGGAGAGTGTTCAAGTGTTGAATCAATGTTTTATAGGTTCGTGTTACACGTTCGTTTCACTATGCTTGTTGAACACTACTAACCCATAGACCCCGTAAGGCAGCAACAACAACGACGATACAGAAGTAAAGTTGTCGATTTCGTGTCGACATGTGAAAAGGAGCAGTCCTTCCTTTCTTCCTGCCAGCCAGTCATTCATTCATACATATCATTAACTTTATTGCACTTAAAAGAAACGTATACGAGCAACCGTGAAGAACACACACTCCCACGAAACTAAAACACACACACACACATACAGCTATATGAACAGCCAAAATTATAGTTCTGTCACCATTAAGGTATCAGAACGTTGCTGGCTCCACCGTCAACTAGGTTTACCATTTGTAGTAGCTGCCTTCTAGGCTACTAGCTGCTTGCTGTTCACCGTGTTTTACTCCAAGTACAGGTGCTCCTGTTGTTGCTTCGTGTTATTAATACAACAACACGACGAAGCATATGTTGAAAAGTGGCTTCGTTACGAGACGTGGCAGTTAGGCACGATAACGCTGAAATATATGCAATGGCGCTATAACTTTAATGTTGCATTTTCTTCCGAGCCTGTTTTGTATGCCAGTAGTCCTTTCAGGTTGTTGTGTTGTTCCTGTTTCTTTTTTGGCAACGACAACTACATCGAAATTTTTTATTATTTAAAATAGTTTTCAACACAGCACATTAACGTTTCCAGATGAATGATAGTGTTTCGGAACACATACATACATTCTTGTGTATGTGTGTACTTTGGTATCTGCTCATTTACTTAAATACCATTACAAAAGCCTTGGTAATTATTTACTTTAATGACTATATAGATATATGTGTGAGAGAGTGCCTAGTAGGTGGTATATTTATGGACTAGGCCACCACCACCTGCATGTTTAGCCCATAATGTTTTTTGCGATAGTGTCAACAAAAGATATTATCTTCTTCGAATACAGTGACATAAACTCGGGCAAAATTTAGGGCGCAATTTTCGAAATGCAACAATAATACGTAGACACAAACTGGGAAATGCCTATAGCCAGGATTGATTTTGGAAATTAAAGAAATAAAAATATAAGTTCTAAGTGTTAAGTTCCGGCGGGGCCCTTTACGATGAGGATGACATTTGAAATGCCTAAAAATCGTGTTTTGACTTTTAGATGAGAGCTATGTCATGAAAAATTGCTGCCAGGAGAATACGATATATCAGACTACTGACATTCAGGTCGAATAAATGGGCAAGGTCCTTGAACATACTATGTTGAAACACGGTTGGAGAATAGGCCATCAAAATACGTATAAAGAGGCTGAATATTTATATGGCGACTATATCCAAAGAACCACCGATTTATATAATTTTTGGTAAGAAGGATTGCCACCCAGTGATTAATTATATTATTGAAAAACATCCATGACACCTAAAAATCAATCGGAACTTCTATATGTGGCCCATGTCGTCATGGTAAATTGGTGCCATGGCAGAAAACGAAATGCTACCCGATATATAAAATTACAGCCAATTATTTTATATATCTTGCAAAAAACTACGAATATTGGTGGGTACCTATATATATTTGGAACCTAACATAACCTAACAAAGCACACTGTGCTATCACGGTTAAACATATTCATGCCTTCATATATAGAGATGTAAATCTCATTATTTTAACATATTAAATATGAAAATGAAGAAAAGTTTTACACCACCAACCAACCAACCCGACTCTATGAAAGATAAAAAAAAAACAAAATAATGTAATTATAGCCATAC